CATCGTAACGTGACAATACAAATTCAACGAAGTAACGTTTATTTTTATTTTTCTTACATCTTTGTACATTTTAGAAATGGCAAAACCTTGTTGTTATTCTGTGTAATTGTAATTTTCAGTATTTTTTATAATAATATTATTATTATTTAAAACGTGTCTATATTGTTATATCAATTAAAAGATAGGAAAGCGTAGCAGCATAAAGATTGGAAGAACGCTGCTCTAAATAGAAAAATAATCGTTCCTTATAACGCACGATTAAAATCCTCCTCTTTCTATCTTACGAAAATTATTATTGCAATTTCCAAATTTCTTTTCCTTGAAAGACAAAAATCCATCGCATACATAATTTCAATCAACGAACTCTCGAATGAAACTCTCGATTTCGATACACAATTCTCGAATTCTAAAATTCTGATTTTTCGCGATTCGTTTTATCATATCGTCGAAAAGCCGGCCGGTTTTCTACGCCAAGCTTCCGGCACACCGATGTCGCCCCGGTTTTATCCCAGGTCGGGATAATACGAGCGGACGAGCCGTCCAAATTACGGCCACGGGACAAAATAGAAACCGAGCGAATCATCGTTTTGCTCGTTTTGAAATTTCACGGGCCACGCGTCGCCTCCGAATTTTCCAGTTCCGCTTTTAATTCCTCGGATCGAGGAGGAGGAATCGAGCTCGGCGCGACCGAAAATACGTTTCGACGAACGAAACGGAATCCGTAAAGCGAAATTTCGCGTTCGTTGATCTCTTTTGTTACCCCGCGATGGGGTAACAAAAAGGATATAAATCTTGGGCCCGAACACTTTGGATTTTTCTCGTTAACAATGGATTGCTCCATTTTTTCCGTCTCGATTCGTGATTGAACGTTTATTTCGAATATTGAGAGGTGAAGGGTTTCTTTCGTTTTTTGATTGTGAGGAAAAAGTGAGGAAGAAAGAAGGAGAATTCATCGTCGAGTATTTTTAGTCACCTCCTCCTTAATATCGCTTCAAATCTAGAACCATTTTCGCGACAAGAAATCTCAGCGTATTCTTAAAAAAAAAAAAAAATTAATAAAGAATCAAAATCTAAAGTAAAAATTTAAAAAGTATAAATAAAATTGAAAAAGAGAAAGCAAACTTGTAAGATTAAAATTATCAAATTAAATCACCAACAAGAAAATTCTCCGTCCAACGATCGATCCACGCTCGAGGTTAAACCTCGACTGAACGAATTCGTTCGCGACCGAGCGTTCGTGAAACGTATAATAACACAATATGGGGAACGCATTAGCGTAAATTTCAAGAGCATCGAACGATATCTCGACATTTCGATAGACAGTCGACTCGTTCCCGCTCGCAGCTATTTTCGCGTTAGCCGACTTAGAAATAAATTACACCCGAACGACGAATATATCCCGCCGCGATCTGCGACTTGACAAAAATGTTTACGGACCACAAGTTGAAACGTCTGCCAGCAATATCTCGACGGCTTCGACATCTCTCGGCCAAATTTCTCAAGGTCGGATAAAAATTCTTCCGAGTTAGCTCGTGATTGTTGGGGTAGGATGTGCGTATTTTTTTTTTTTTCCGTTTTTCAAAATGAAATGTGAACGGTGTTATTTGCAGGATCGATCTTCCTTTGTGGATTAAAATAAAAATTCGTGAAAAATTATTAAACGTAGAAAATTTTTAATTTAAATAGAAGATTTATGATCGTTGTTGCGAGCATAATAAATCGAGAATGCAAATGATTATTATTAGTGAAATTACGTTTTTTATTTCTTTAGACTTTTTATTTCTTTATTAAATTTTGTTCGATCGACGACGCGATAATTGGAGGAACAATATCAAACGAGGAAAGATTTATCATGGTTAAGAACGAATTAAAATCATTTATAAATTCTAATCATAAATTCGCGGAATGAAAATCTACTAGTAATGGAATACTATGCTATGAATTATAAACAGCGGTTCCTATGATAGTCTTGTACTACTGCAAATTTACCTATCCTCTCCTAGCTCCTCTATTCTTCCTCACAAAAATTACATTGTAACAAATATATACAATTAACGAAATTATCCAATATACATCTTGAAACAGATTTCTCAACTTTTGAATATCCTTTATAAAAAGAAAAAATTCCCAATTATCGTTAGATTTTCCAAAATTCTGCTTAAAATATTATCGATACTGTTGTTACTTCGATCCATTCCACTATCTTTTCCTTTCTGAAAAATTTCCTTCTGTTACGATCCCCCCCTTCAAATTCACGAATTTCCATTTTCGAGGTTTCGCACGTGTCCACGAATCTCCACGTTTCTTTACGATCGCCCCCCCTCCACGCAAGCGTTCGTGCGGCCCTATCCAGAATCTCTCCAGCTGGGTAGCTCTCCACTGGTTTATCGGACTTGTGTGGAGAGGCGTGTTTTTTCAAGCGTATTAGAATATATATTTGGAGGAATGTTTATGGACTCGAGGCTCGAACGTGAGATTTATCGTTGATTAAAAGGAGCCGTTTGTTCGTTTAGTTTAGGGAGCTCGTTTCGATGGAACGACGGGCAGGGTTGCTCGGCTTTTTAAAAATCGAGGATCGAGGAAAGTGAGCCTTTCTTTCGATAATTCACGCTGTTACGAACGAGTTTCTGGCCAGAATATCTGTAATAATACTTAATTAATAATTCCCTTTAAAACTCGCGAAAACTTTAACACTGTGAAATTTCTAACAAAGAATATAGAGGTTCCACATTTGTGAATTCTGTTGAATTTCAGAATTATAACAGTTATAATTCCGACACTCTGACACAGATCCTCGAGAATCCTAAATTTTGGGAATTGCAAAAATCTTTAGATCTAAATCAGCCAAAATTCCAAGGAAAGCTCTTAAGAACTCTTCACGCTTTTATTTTATATCTTTCAATTAAGAGTTTCACATTCTACGAAAGAGAAATCCACAAAACGGTATTGACTCGCAGCGAGCGAATCGCGTTTCTCGTTAATCGGCGTTAACAGTTTCATGCCTCGAATACGATCGTTCACCCACGACAATTAAGGAAAAAAACTTTTCATCTTTTTTTTTTTCTCTCTCCCCTCGTTGGCGCGCGTTCTAATCTAATCGAGCCAAGGCCGGCAAACTCGCGGCAGAAATTCGCAAAAGGTTGCGCCGCGCACTGGCTATTTATCGGATCTTTCAACCGAAACGAATCGATCGGCCGCCTGGTGACCGATCGATTGTCGTTTAATCAGCGTTATAATTTACGAGCCCGCGGGGCCCTGATTTATTATCGGCCGTGTCCTCGCGTTTAATAATCGAAGAATCGAGCTTACGTATCGCGTAATTGCGACTAATACGTCTAATTAGCGCTCGAACGCCATAGATCAGGTTAATAACTGGCTTTGGTATTTGCACTGGCTCGTTTCGTTTCCGATTTAGATCGGATCCAATTTGGTATTATTTAGGGGTTCGATCGAGAGGGAAAAGATTCGATCGGTATTTATGAATTTTGAAACTGCGAATGTTCGATCGTTTCGATCCGATAGGCGAGTTTGTGAATTTTTACCAATTACGAGAGGAAAAGGAGAGTGAAGTTGAATTGTATCGTTCTATCGTTTTGATTTGATTTAGATCGGATCTAAATAGATTTTTAATTTTAGAGATTGGAAAATTTTATTTTATCAAATCGTTGAAGAAAATTAAGTTTGTACGGAAATGTGTATTGGACAGATGAAAATAGTTTTTTTTTTTTTGGAACGAGAATTTTGTTGGTGCTTTAGCAATCAAGTGAAAGAAGAGAGGATTATTTAATTTAAAATAAACGAGTTTCGGGTAAATCAGTTTCCACTAATGGTCTAATTTTTAATCCTGATTATTTCCTATATTTATTCGCCTCGTATTTTGCCTTCATTTATTTCCTTGTACGTCTTATCTTCAACGTGTGAAAAACAACTACTTTATGAATAATTTTGTTAAATATAAGATAACGTTTTATGTATATATATATATATATATAAAATATAAAAGAAATATTTGGAATAATATTATTTTTAACATTGCTGCGAAGAAATAAATTCTTTGTGCGAATATCGGGGTGTTCTTTAAAACTATTCCATTAATTTTGTTTTTGTAATATTTTTCATGCGCGTATACAATGTAGGAGGGCACGCGCAAATTCGATTCTTATTCGAATTGGAAAATGGGAGAAAGGGTGTGACGATTATTATTTGCGCGTGATTTTAATTGGACGTGCAAATATTTGAATAACACAGATTCAACAACAAACGTTTGAAATTAAGTGGCACAACAACAGTTTTGCGAGGGGGACGAGCCAAGTTAAGTAATTGAAAAACAAAGATTAAAACGAAGAATTGCGTAAGAATTTATTTAACAATCTTGCGAGATAGCGAGAGAGCAGAAGTCCAGAACAGACTGCAATCTGTTATTTGTAGATTTATTTTTATCGACGTGGAAAGGGAAAAGGAGAGTGTAGGTATCACACTCTTTCTGATATTTTGTTATTTGTTTGTACTTTTTATACCGCGCTTTCTCCTCTTCTATCGCGATAAAATCAGACGATTAAATTTGATAAAAGAAGCTTCTTGTCTCGAAGAAGAATCGAAGAAAGAAAAATAACATTAAAAAGAATTCTTATGTAATTTCATATATAAATCCTTTCCTCAAACGATGGAAATTTTTTCAGCGTTCCTACAACAATTTGTATTTATTACGTGTATCTATAAGATTTAAAAATTGAAAAAAATTAAATCTTCATTAAATAATATGAATATATGTTCCTCGAATATTACGATATTATGAATTACTAGAAACTAAAATATTATTGCAAACTTTCATGCCAAATTTGTTAACAAAAGGATAAAAAGCTTTGGAATGTTGACACACACGATAAAAAAATTATTTAATTCTGTCGATTCAATTTCATAACAATCTTACTAAGAAATGAAATTTATTATTAAGCTTCAATTAGTATAAAAACTTGTTCATCTATCACGAATCTAATGATCTTTCTCTCTCTCTCTCTCTCTCTATTAATATCGCCTTTCTTCGTTGAGAAGAAAGCTTGGCAGTCACTGGCCTGAAATTAGCGATTCATTTGTTGGGTTAATCACGCTTGATAAGACGGGTCAGATATTCTCGTTGTTTAATTAACATTGCCGTTTAAGAAACAAAATAAATTCTTAATAAACATTCGGTTCAAATCGATGTTGCATCGAGACAGAAAGAGAGAGATCTTAGTTTAAACTTTTACAAGATTAAACTTAGACTGATCGATTAGACCGATTTTAAATATACACATCTCATTCTACATATTTGACGTAGCATTGTTTGCAAAAATAAATATTCCCCTCCCCTTCTCCTTTCTTTTTTGCAATAAAATGCAATATCGTATAAAAGACGAACGAACGAATAAAATTTCATTTCGTTCTCCTCCTCCTCCCCCCCCCCCCTGAGCAAGAAAAAAAAAGAAATCGAAAAGTAAAATTACTATTATTATCCATCCTCGACAACTTGGTTTTTATTATCGCTAAAAACTAAAAAATAAATATTTTCATCTCATTGTGCGAACGCTTCTTTTCTCAATCAATTCCACCATTGGCTGATGAACAGAGAAGCGAGGCTTTCACATCGGGGAGCAAAGTTCGATTATTCGCCTCGGGGGCTATCTAACACCTTACGCGCTCTTACGTAAAAGGTAAAATCGAGTTAATGTAATTCATTCGGGCCGGCCAGGTTATAAATTGTAATGCGCGCGCTGTTATCTAAGGATGATTATGCAATTGCTAATATACGCGACATTGATCGGTCGACGGTGAAAAAGTGGTACTCGCTCGAGGAAATGCAAAAAAAAAGAGGAATAATAAAAACGACAGGCAAATATTTGCCACCCGTCAACGACTCCGCTCTTCGTGTTTACGAAGAAATTAGTAGAAGAAATAAGAGAAGCGTGTTTTAAACCGATGCTCTCCATTGGGGAGCGAGGAGATGAAAGAGAGATGAATCGGGATGAAATAAATTGTAATTGATCCAAGATGATCGAAGATCGAAGAAAAGAATAATTTATGTATCTGGGGCAATGAACGTCGAGAAGAATTGTTCGATGTTTGTCAATACAAAACATTAATGATTAATTACCGAATAATCGGGCGATGATTGCGCCAAGTCCAATAAAATTGAACGAAATTATCATTTATTTCGACAAGTTCGGCATCGTCGTGTGAGAGTAACGTCGAAACGAATTGATTGTCCTGGCTGAAAGTTCATCAGAGGCTCGTAAAAGGCTTTATCGTTCCTCTTCTCCAAGGATGAATCAGTTTTATATCGTACGATTTTTCATTTCGTTGCATCGGTTATTTTCTTACGTTCGTTCCTAATATTTCAATAATTTAATTTTTTAATTATTATCTCATTTCTTCTTTTTTCTCTTTCCTTCTTCTTATTGCACATTTAAAGTAATCGGCTGTTGGAGAAAGATTAATGGCATAGTTAATGTCGATCATATCTCGAAACTTGTTTATCTTTGCGCGTATAAAAAGAATATCGACGAGTCAAAATTTATCAAACTTCATCCCAATTAAATCCTCACGTGTTATAAATATACGTATTCCCCGTATTATCGAATATTCATGAAACTTTGTGGATTTTATCGATCACGTTAAATGTTACACTCAAGAATAAAATATAGGCAATAAAATAAGATTATTGCTAGATTTATATAACGGGACGTAGTTTCAAAAAACATTCCCAACCTTTGTGATTCCGTATATTATAAGGAATTAAAATAAAAATTACATTTCTTTAGACTTCTACTTTAAAAAAAAAAAAGATAAAATTCTTCGATTCGTCGAACGAAAAGAGAATAATTATTTTCGAAAGACTCGTTTGATTTGCGAAAGAAGAAGAAGAAGAAATCGATTCACGACACTCGAAATCACGATAAACACTCTATTCCCTGTTCCTTCAAAGTCGGAATTCGACCGGTTCCAGGTGGCCGGTGATTCACCAAGAGCAAAGAGATTTCTATTCGCGACGCGACATGAAAGGTAGAAACGCGGGTTAATCCGAAGAGATCGTGCATGTGTAATTTCACCGTGGTACGCACGTGCGTACGTGTCATTCTCCTCCAGCCGCGTTTCCAACGCGTAAAGAGATCCTATTAATAGGTCGCATGCTCGATTGACAGAGCTCCCGCGTAATTTATATCCCGGCCTCTGACAGTTATTAGGAACCGGCCTGGAACCGCAATAAGGAAACCGATCGAGCCGATACCCGCCTCTCCATTTTCCACTCTATCCAACTCCTCTCCTCCCCCTTGTCCAAAATTTTTTCCCCTTCGAAAATATTTCCATTCCCTC